TTCCATCATCAGTCCGCCTCCAATTGAGTCTACGCAAGCTTTTTGTTTTCCTGCAGACCCCAATCCATATACCTGGACTCTTTCCGCACTGGTCCTTGCCGTGCGCCGTTGTACATGGATATTATAAATACATATGACAGAAAGCTGGTGGTATCAATGCGGCCCTCTCTGGACCTCGTCTTACGCGTCCTGTGCAGTCACCTTTTAAAACGAGGCACGCTCACGGCCGCCGCCGTAGCCTCCACGATCACCGCCGCGACCGCCGCTACGGTCGCCGCCACGGCCACGTCCACCGAAACTGCCACCGCCGCCGCGACCACCGAAACCGCCGCCGCCGCTACGGCCGCCGAAGCCGCCACTGCGGGCCGCCGCGCCTGTCACCCTCGCTACTCTCAGCATGTTGGAGAAGGGGTCGCTGGAGTTGCGGCCACCGTCACGACCGCCATCACGGCCGCCGAAGCCTCCGCGACCACCGTCGCGACCGCCGAAGCCGCGACCGCCAAAGCCGCCGCCACCGCCACCACGGGAATCGCGAGCAGAGCTGCCATCGTTGACAAAATCGTCGTCGTAGCCAATGTTGAGGCCCTCAACCCTGCGGAGACCGAGCTTGTCGGCCGTCTTGGGCGACATGGCAGGTGTGTTCTCCAGACCAATGCCGTTGACGAACCACTCCTTGAGCTCCTCAACACGATCACGCACGTTCTGGCGCGTGACGCGGGCGAAGAGAGACATGTAGGTCGCGGCGAGGCTGCTGCGAGGGACACGCTTCAGGGCGTCCATGGTGGTGTCGAAGACGGGGGTGCGTTCCTGGTCCTCCGTCGCAGCAGTGAGATCGACCTCGGCGGAGACAATGGTGCGGTTGGGCTCGATAGGCAAACCACCGAGCTCGTGGCGGGCGGTCCCTATGTCGGTCTGGCTGATGATCAACCAGCCCTCGCCCTCCTTGCCCTGACGGGCGGTACGACCGATGCGGTGGATGTAGTGCTCGCGGTCGCTGGGGGGACCAGCCTGGATGACGTGGGTGACGTTGGGGAAGTCCATGCCACGTGCGGTGACATCAGAGGAGAACAAGATACCAGAGTTGAGCTCACGGAAACGGTCGGCTGCCCTGGTGCGGCCCTGCTGGGTGAGCTTGGAGTGGATGCGGAGGTTGAAGAGGCCAGTCGACTGGCGGAATCCAGCGTTGAAGGCATCGGCGGCGAGATCAACCATGGCGGTAGAGGGCAAAAAGACCATGGCCTTGAAGGGGGGAAGATCGGGGTTGGCGCGGCGGTTCGCAGACTCCTTCTCAATGACCTCGAACAAGGCAGGGAAGACGTTGCCCCAGCCGCGGCAA